GTTTTGTCTGGTTATGGGTCTTGAAGCTACGGTAGCACAGTGGTAGGGCTTTTGCCTTGCACACAACCGACTCGGTCGACCCAGGTTTGATTCCTCCGCCCCTCTTGGAGAGCCCGGCAAGCTACTAAGAGAATCTTGCCTGCATGGCAAAGCCTGGCAAGCTACTGTGATGTATTCGATATGCCAAACACAGTAACAAGTCGTCTCACAATGGAGACATTACTGCACCCGCTCGAGCAAATCAATGAACAATGGAAGAACAGTGCAGACAGTGCAGTGCAGGGTCTTGAAGCATTGAGCAGTGATAAAGTGTGTGTGCAAATACATAGTTTATGTGTAACATTTTGTGCCACATTATTCATGAGTGTTCTAAGTCATGTGCAGCTCTAGTTTATTTACTTTTAGTGCAGTATATTGCATTTTGTTGAGTGACTATATCACAGTTTATATCTTCTACTATTGATTGACATTTTGGTTGTATCCAACTGGAGAATGCCGTAGTGAACTTTTTCATACCTGTCAATTGTTCTGTATGTGCATGTATTTCTCTTAGGTATATGGTTTAGGGTTGGGTAATATGAATGCCTATGTGCAACTTTAAAAATGATACCAGTGAGAAATAGTATAGTAGGTAGGTCATTTGCACACGGTTGACCTAGGTTTGATTCCCAGCATCCAATATGGTCCCTTGAGCACCACCAGGAGTGATCCTCAAGCACAGAGCCAGGAGTAAACCTTGAGCAAGACCAAATGTAGCTCCAAATGCAAAATAATAATGGTAATAATAATGATAATAATGCCAAACTTTTGTTGAGGCCAGAGTGATAATGTAGAGATTAAGGCCCAGTCTGTATGTTTGGCTGACCCCTCCTGGTTTAGCCCCACATGATCCCTCAAGCATTGCCAGTTGCAGCATTGGAGGCCCCTGAGTGCCACCATTTCGCCCAGTATGACCCTGGAAACCCCCTGCCCCTGAGAAAAGAACTTCTGTTAATCAAGAAACAACCTATGAAGAGACAAACCACAGAGAAGAAAACTTTGTTATGCACATAACTGACAAAGAATATATATATACTCTGTATGTGTGTAAACTTATCAATAAATGATGAAAAGAGACCTAAAAGAAAAGTGGACAAGATCTGAATTGACACAAAAAGAAAATCCAAATGTCTTGTAGACATTTGAAAGGAGCTTAGGCTCATTAGTAATCAGGGAAATGAACCAGAGTGAACAACTACTACAGACCCAGCAGATGCTAAAAGTACAAAGTCTGACAGTACCAACTGCTGATGAGAATTGCTGGGGAATGTAAATAAGTGCTTTTATTCACTGCTGGCAGGGGGAGTGTATTTGTGTGAGCATTTTTGAAAACAGTATAGCATCCTTTTTATTTATTGGGACATACCCAGTAGTTTTCATGGCTTTCTTTCACTCCAGACCAATATGACATCATTTGTTGTTGTTGTTGTTTGTTTTTGGACCAGACTTGGCGGTGGTCAGGGCTTACTTCTGACTCTGACTCAGGGACCACTGAGGTTGTGGGACTTTATGAGATGCCGGGGATCAAACCCTGGTTGGCTACATGCAAGACAAACACACTACCCACTGTACTATCACACTAGCCCTAAATTATTTTCAAAATGAAAATTATTTGCTTTCTTGGGTGAACATTATTTGTGACATATCTTTCGTATCAGTATTAAGGTAAAGCTATTTTTTTCTGCCTAGAGTTCTCCTCCTGAACAACTCTTTAGAGTCAACTTCAGTGTCGCCTCTTCTGGGAAGGCTTTCCACACCCTTCTCTCTATTAATTATAGCCTTCTCTCTTATTCCCAAAGCAGTTGGCACATCTATCAACTGTGACATATTTTCTTCTTTACAAGTCTGTATCCTCGGAGGTACAGTTCCTCAGTGGTTGGAAGAGTGGGTTATTGATTCCTGCATTCCACAGTTCCTGAATTGAAATAAATTTTCAGAAAAATAAGTTTAGCTAAGCAATATACCCCATACATACTTTAATTCATTCATGACCTTTTTTTTTTGTAGTGGTGGTGGGGAGGCCACACCTGTCAACACTTAAGGCTTACTCCTGGCTCTGTATTCAGGAATTTCTCCTGGTGGTGCTCGGGAAATCAGATGGGATGCCAAGGATCAAACCAGGATCTGCTGAATGCAGCAAATCTTACCCATTGTACTATCTTTCCAATCTTGGATCTCACCCAGCACAACTTCACTACTTAACAGTTTAACCCAGAGGGCTTAACTTCTAGCTCTGTGTTCAGGGGTCAATCCTGACAGTGCTCCAGGACCATATGTGGTTCTAGGGATCAAACCCAAGAATCGTTCATTCTATATCTCTCTGACTCCAGAACTATTTATTGAGCACTGACCTCGTCAGGCTGTGTTTCTGATGCTTCAGATAAGCAACACAAAGTCCTTGCCCTTGGGATGTGACAGATTATGATCCACTCATAAGGATTATGGGAGAAAAATTTTAGGAAAATTAAAAAAAATAAAGCTTTTTGAAGGGGGAACATGGTGAGGAAGTGGGGTTGGAGCCTTGGAAGAGTGGTCTGGGGAGGTAGCTTTTGAATAGAAATTTTGAATAAGGGCACATGCCTTTCTGAATACGTGGGGGAAGAAACACCAAGTGCAATGGCCTTGAGGGAGGAGCAAGCCTCCATGTTTAGGTGCAGGAAAGAGTGCAGTGTAGTTGCGGGGACGGCAGAATGCAAGATTAGTTAGAGAGGGAGGGAATGGAAAGAGGAGTGTGTGTGTAAATCACATGGAATCATAAAGGTAAAGGTAAAGGCCCTCCCGTTGATCGTCGATTTGCTCGAGCGGGCCCAGTAACGTCTCCATTGGAGATTTTGTTGTTACTGTGTCTGGCATATCGAATACTCTCGGTAGCTTGCCGGGCTCTCCGAGAGGGGCGGAGGAATCGAACTCGGGTCGGCCATGTTGGCCGCTTGTAAGGCGAACGCCCTACCCGCTGTGCTATCGCTAACAATGGAATCATATAGGCCCTTAAAAAATTGAGGCACCCTGAGTGCCTCCATGTGTGACCTCAGAACAAACCCCAGGCATAAATCCCTTCCCAGCACTGCTCAGCTGGCTTCAGTGATCCCCGGTCTGCAGGGCCTAAGTAGCAGTGTAACCCTCTGACCCTGGCATTGAACCCTTGCCTAGTTGTCAGATAATCGCAGGGAGTGGCCTCCGGGTACCTACTGAGCAATAGTTGGGACCCCCTTCCCCTTGCATCCTTCCTCTCTAAAAGATCTTGAATTTTACACCAAGTCAGATGGGAAAGGGGAAGAATCTTTAGAGAAGACCTTTTTTCTGTTAGGGTTTTTTTTTTTTTTTTGGAGGGGGGCTAGGACACACCTGGCTGTGTTCAGGATTTACTCCTGGCTCTGCACTCAGGGATCACTCCCGGGGTGTTGATTGGGGGAACAGATGCTTGGGATTGAACCCAGTTGGCTACACGCAAGGCAAGCTCCTTACTAGCTGTTCTCTCTCTCTGGTCCCTTGACTTAGGTTTTAACAAAATTCCCCAGGCTGCTTGAGAACAAGCTCTGTGAAAGTAGAGTGGTAGCAGGGAGATCAAGGGTGTGCAGGATTCCAGGAAAAGGGGCTCAAATGTGGTACAATTGCCTGTGGAATGTGATAGAGAGAAATCTAGAATGACTCCAATGGCTTGAACTCCAGCTGCCAGAGGATGGAGCCAACATTAACTGAGATAGGAAAGAGTGGTGCAGGGTTGAGGGGCAGGTTTGCGAGTTTGGTTCTGGACATACGAGTTGACACATTGCTCAATACTTATGTATATGGTTGTTCACCGATTTTCAGGATCTTAGAGTAATACAACCTGAATTAAAGCCAGCTTTATTTGTTGAACATTGGGGGTTTACAGGCCCTCACCTGTGCTGTCATTTTAGTCTTTCAGTTATTCCTCTTGACTTAGTTGCTAATATTTTCATTGTCCTTTTATGGATGAGAGATTAACTAGCATGGCCAAAGTCATTCGGCCAATTATTAATCTGCCAGTAAAATGCAGATCCGGTATTCCGGAGTAGGACCCAGCCCATCCCAGACTTTAAAGCGACACAACAAATATTGGGGTGGGGGTGGGGGGCAGCGTTATGGTACACAAGGGGGCTCACTGGAGCCTGAACGTTCTCAAATACCTGGAGAGGTCATGTTAACAAAGTAGTCATGGAACCAAGGGATAGATAGTACAGCAGGTAGGTAGGAGACTTGCCTGGCACGTGGCCGGCTGGGTTCGAGCCCCAGCACGTCAGATGGTGCCCTGAACCCCGCTAGGAGTGATCTCTTGAGTGCAGAGCCTGGAGTAACCCCTGAGCATTACCGGGTATGGCCCAAACCATCCCCACCCCAAATAAAAAGGGAAAAATACATAAAAGGAGGCAGATCAAGTTGTTAGGAAACAGAGGCGATTCAAACTGCTGGGAAGCGATGGCAGAATAAAAGCAACGACGACTCGCAGGCGATACGACGCTGGTTGTGAAACTGCGCCGGGAGGGTGGGGTGGACAGAAGGACCCTGTAGGGACGAGGCCCTCTGAGCGGCCTGCATCGCTTTGAAAGCACAGCCCGGGGTGGCCTTCCTTTGGTGGTCCTCCAGAAAGACCAGGATGTGGAGCACAAAAGCCGGGAACTTCTCGAGCCGCAGCATCCGCCCCACGTCCCCCCTCCTCCGCCGCCCCCTCAGGCTCCACGCGGGGAAGAGCGGGAGCGGCGCCCGCGCATGCGCCTTGGGCAAGGTCCGCTCGTGGCGACGTCAGGGGGCTCGCGCCCGCTCGAAGCCCCGCCCCCGGGCGCCAGAGGCGACCTGGGCGGGGGGCCTCGGGCCACGCCCCCAGCCGCGCCGAGCTGGGCCGAGCGGAGCCGAGCTGGGCCGAGCGCGGCCGAGCGGAGCCGAGCGGCCCGGAGTCGGTTGGTGCAGCTGCGTCCCCGCCGGCCCAGCAGTCCGCGGCCCGGGCGTCGCCGCCGCCGCCACCGCCGCCGCCGCCTCCTCCGCGGGGCCTGCGCCGGCCGCCCCCGGCCGCCCGCCGGGAGGGAGGCCCGAGAGCGCGGGGGAGAGCGGCCCGGCCGCCGCCGCCGCTGCCAGGTGAGCGCCCGCCGCGGCCCGTGCGCCCCCCGCGACTTGTCAGCCCCCGCGTCCGTGTGTCTCCGTCGGTGCCGGTCAGCCCCGCCGCGGGTGCGCGAACTCCTCCCCGCCAGCCTGGCCCCCGGCCCTGCCCGCAGTGCCCGCCAGCCCCCTCCCGCGCGCTGGCCCCGGTCTTTCTGTCAGCCGCCAGCACCCCGCGCGGGGAGGCCCCGCCCCTTCCCCCCGAAACCCCGCCCCGCGCCCCATCTGTCAGCGTCCCCCTCCGCCCCTCCTGCGACTCCCGCCGCGGCGACCCCGCGCGGGGGCTGTGGGGGGCAAGTGTGGCGGGGAGGGAGTGAGGGAGTGAGGGAGTGTGCGTCCCCGCCGGGGGCGAGTCCGGGGAGCGCCTCGAAGCTCTGCGGGGAACGCGGCTTCAGGGGCGCTGTGTGTGTGTGTGTGTGTGTGTGTGTGTGTGCGCGTGTGGGTCCCCGCAAGGTACGAGTTTGGGGGGCTCCTCGAAGCTCTGAGGGGAACGCGGCTTCAGGGGCGCTGTGTGTGTGTGTGTCTCTGTGCGTGTGTGCGTGTGTCCCCGCAGGGTGCGAGTTTGGGGAGCGCCTCGAAGCTCTGAAGGGAACTCGGCTTCAGGACCGTGGTGTGTGTGTGTGTGTGTGTGTGTGTGTGTGTGTGTGTGTGTGTGTGTGTGTGTCCCGCAGGGTGTGAGTCCGGGGAGCGTCTCGAAACTCTGAGGAACGCAGCTTCAGGGTTGCTGTGTGTGTGTGTGAGAGAATATGTGTGTGTGTGTGTGTGTGTGTGTGTGTGTGTGTGTGCCCCGCAGGTTGCGAGTTTGGGGAGCGCCTCGAAGCTCTGAAGGGAACTCGGCTTCAGGACCGTGGTGTGTGTGTGTGTGTGTGTGTGTGTGGGTGGGTGGGTGTGGGTGTGTGTCCCGCAGGGTGTGAGTCCGGGGAGCGTCTCGAAACTCTGAGGAACGCAGCTTCAGGGTTGCTGTGTGTGTGTGTGTGTGTGTGTGTGAGAATGTGTGTGTATGTGTGTGTGTGTGCCCCGCATGGTGCAAGTTTGGGGAGTGCCTCGAAGCTCTGAAGGGTACTCGGCTTCAGGAGCGTTGTGTGTGTCTGTGAGTGAGTGAGTGAGTGTGTGTGTGTGTGTCACGCAGGGTGTGAGTTCGGGGAGCGCCTCAAAACTCTGAGGAACAAGGCTTCAGGGGCACTGTGTGTGTGTGTGTGTGTCTGTCTGTCTGTCTGTCTGTGTGAGTGTCTGCAGGGTTCGAGTCCGGGGAGCGCCTGGAAGCCCTGAAGGGGCGCGCGGGTTCAGGGGCACTGTGTGTGTGTGTGTGTGTGTGTGTGTGTGTGTGTGTCCACAGGGTGCGAGTCCGAGGGAGCGCCTTGAAGCCCTAAGGGAAGCGCGGCTTCAGGGGCTTTGCGGGGAAAGGGCACTGAGTGACTGACTCGGAACAGAGGAGGGTCGCTGGCGGGTGCGGTGGGTGCGGGAAGTGGTGTGTGTGTGGGGGGGCACCTCGAACCTTGGGGCTCTGGGGTGGAGTGTGGTGGCGAAAAGTAGAATCCCGGATCCCTAGGACCCTTTGGCTTGCCCTGGATGGCCTGTGGGAGCGGAGTTGTGTGTGTGGGGGGGGGGGGGGGGGAGGCGGGGCGGAGCTCCTGAGAGAGGGGAGTGTTAGGAGCTTCACCTCGACTGGGGGTATGTGTGTGTGGGGGGAAGTTTTATTATTCCCAAGAAGCGGGTGAGATGCCGTGGGTTTCGTGATTTTTTTGAGCCTGGAATACCCAGGGCTGGTGCTGGATTGGAAGCGGGTGGGGGTGGGCACGGGGGAGGCTCTGGGGTTCTGCGAGTCAGATGTAAATACACAAGTGTATAGGTTATTCTTGACACTATACACTATATTTATCCCTGCCCCTCACCTATAAAACGGACATCCTTGAAAAAAAAGGACAAGGATCCCTTCAGTTTTTTCTTTATACAGGTTCTTGTTTAGCTCCAGGACCCGCACTTGCAGAGACAGCATCACAGGGTTTCAAAGCAAGAGGATAATTTATTAGTGTTTTGCCATATCATTCGTAACTACCAGGGAAAGAGCCCAAAGCGCATTTCATTAGCCGCGACAACTTATTCGGGCTTACTTTTGTTTCTAAGAGACTGCAGTGGAAAAATCCAGAAACCTCATCATTCAAGAGTCTTAGGACCTTAATGAAAAAGGCCGGTTCTGTTGCTGCCTTGGAAAGATGGTATCAAAGCTGCTGTGGAGGACAGAGCTGCTGCTCTCTAATGATAAACATATTAACCAAGTTGCTTTCGTGACCTTGATACATTGAGCAGCTCTTGATTACTGCGGTGCTTCATAACAAGCAAACATTGCATGGCAGGCCGGGTAATTTTCTGAGAAAATATTCCCTTGTGTTTTGTTTTCCCTTTTTTCATTTTTTTAAGATTTCAGCTTAGAACTGTTTGGTGGTGGAAGCAACTGGGAATTCTTTACCTCTCTCTTCCTAAAAAATAAAAAAAAAAACAAAAAAAAGGGTACAATTGATTTTTTAACTTTCAGGGCCAGAAAAACAAAAAAATAGCAATAAAAAACATAAGCCAGGACTTAGATTATTGGTAGAGTGCTTGCCTTACATGAGCGAGGCCCTGGATTTGATACCCTACAGAAAAACAAAAGAAAACACAAATGAACAAGAGACGTCCCCTCCCCCTCCAGACAACAGATCAATCCCACAAATTATAGTAAACTCCACTTCAGTATCCTTTTTTGTTTTGGGGCTACACTGAGTGGTTGGGGCTACTCCCAGAGGTATTGTTGAGGGTCCTATAGTGCCAGAGTTTGATCTCATCCCTTCCACAAGCAAAGTATGAGCTCAGGGGGGTGAGCTCAGGGTGTTGAGCTCTCTCCAGTTACAGTACTTTATCCTTTAGTTTTGCGTTCCTATATATTAAGTATTTTCACAAAAATGTTACCATCCTAAATTATTTTATTGTGTTTCCACCCCTCCATACACATATAGATTATGAGGAATGTATGTAGGTCAGTCTTGGATTTTCTTTGTGTTAAAAAAAATTAGAGCGCTCAAGTGATAGTACAGCAGGTAGGGTGCTTGCCCACCAGGGCCAACCTGAGATTGATCTCTGGCACCACCAGGGGTTAGCATTGAGCACAGAACCAGGAATACCCCCTTAGCACTGCTGGGTGCGGCTTCCCCCAAAGTTGGAAAGCCAGGGAGATGACTCAAATGGTAGAGCACATGCCTAGTGTGTGTGAGCTCTTATTTTTTTTAACTCTTTTATTGAATCACTGTGAGATAGACCCTCACAAAGCTGTTCATGATTGGATTTCAGCCACACAGTAGTCCAACCCCCATCTCTCCACCAGTGTACATTTGCCAGTACCAGTCTCCCTAGGTTCCCTCCCAACCCCCTGCCCCTGCTTGCCTCTATGTAGCACTCTCCTCCCGTTGTTCATTGATTTGCTCAAGTGGGCCCAGTAATGTCTCCATTGTGAGACTTCTTGTTACAGTGTTTGGCATATTAAATATATGTTCATTACTTCTTATTGTGTTTGGCATATTGAATACATCATGAGTAGCTTGCCAGGCTTTGCCGTGCGGGTGAGATACTCTCAGTAGCTTGCCGGGCTCTCTGAGAGGGGCGAGAGGGGCGGAAGAATCGAACTCCCCTGGTGGCCTGGTGGGCCTGGTGGGCTGCATGCAAGGCAAACGCCCTACCCCCTACCCACTGTGCTATTGCTCTAGCCTGCCTCTATGGCAGGTGCTTTTCCTCCTCCTCCTCCTTCTCTTGTTCTTCTCTCTCCCTCCCCCTCTCCCTCTCTCCTTTTGGAGCCCCTGAGTTTTAATTCCTGGCACCACAGGGGTGCTGGAATGCAGGGCGTGTGGTCCCTATATTATTTAGAAAACCAAAAATTATAATAAGTTAAAGCCTCTGCATAGGGAGCTCTTATAGCTCTCTTAAAGAAAAACCTAAAGTCCTTTCCATGGTATAGTAAGTTTTCTTCCTGTCCTAGCTTCCAGCTTTGCCAGCAATTCTGCCAGGCAGTGAGTGCCTCAGTGCCTTTGTACTTTCTGTTCCTTATATTTTGAACTCTGTGCCCTGGATATTATAGTTGTTCTTCAAGATTCTGTTTCAACTGTAACCTACCAGACTTTTCCTGACTGCTGTGTATAAAACACTACCCATTCCCTTGTCCTCCTTATTCCTTTTTATCCTGTTTTTTTAATTTTTATGACTGTGGTTTACAAAAAGTCTCACAATAGAGACTTTACTGGTGCCCACTCAGAGCAAATCAGCAAATCGATGAACAGTAGGAGGACAGTGCTACAGTGCTACAGTGCAGTGATTTAAAAGTTATTCATAGTTGAGTTTTAGGCATACTATATTCTAACATCAGTCTCACCACCACTGTCAACTTCCCTCCCTCCGTGTCCCCAGGTTCCCTTCCACCCTGACTTTTCATTGTGGCACTTACCACTGCTTGGTACATACATACCTATTTACTAGTTGGTTTCTTTTTTTTTTTTGTCTCTTTCCATTAAACGTCCATTAACCTTTAAGTATGAGGCATCCTTAACAGATATATCCTCAGGAACCAAAACAGCAACTGATATCTTAGGTGCTGAATGAGTAAGTGATTACTCCTTTTCTCATCCACTCATGTGACCTTTGTCATAAGCTTTTCATTAGTTATGAATGAAGGTAATAAGCCTTTAAAATCAGGATATTCAGGATATTCCCTTACATAACTGAGAAGAATTTTACAATGTGAAACTTGTATTTTATAAAAAACTTACCATCTTAATTTAACTTGAACAATTGAAGGAAAGAACATTTTGGCAGATGTAAGTAACTTTCCTTCTTACTGATTATCCCTGTATCACATTGAAAGTCTTTGAAAAGTATAAAGTATCCATCCCAGTTATATTTGCAGCTGTGATTTCAGTTCCTTAGCTCCAAGTGATAGTACAAGCCTCAAGAGAATA